AAGTCTAAATAAATCCTGTACAACGTCTCTTAAGTCTCATCCTTTGTGTGTAACCCTGTAGCTACAAGGTGGTAGGAACTATAGAGTACAAGGCCACCATCACTAGAACCTCCCTAGAAGAGGCTGATGCATTTGGCGTACCGTCCTGTTTTGACTTTATAGTCTGTATGTGTAATGTACTGCTTGCTCTAGCTGCTTAAAGGGAGTGTTCGCGAAAAATGAAAGGGGGTATACGCTTAATGCGACAAAAAAGCGCTTTTGATCGCTTCTAATCTTACTTCTATCTGTTGCGTCTATTAGGAGAAAATTGTTAAAAACGACTAATACCGACAATTTGACTTTTAAAGAACTTTAATAGACACAGGAATACTGTAAAGGTTCCAAGATTTTAAAGCTGAATTCGTAAGCATGCATTTATTAAGCTGTGCAACATTTTTATCATTTGGAAATATAAGGGAAAAACGAACCAAAAAACGATCGTTTTAAAACTATTGTGTTTGGTTCGTTTAAGGCAAATATCTAGAGATGCTATCTCATTTGAACTACTCCCGTTTGAACTATTGTTCATTTGAACTATTGTTCGTTTGAACTACTGCACGTGGTACCACGTGAGTAGTTGAAATGAAAAATAGTTCAAACGAGTAAATATATTGCTCATTTGAACTATTTTTTAGTTCATTTGAACTATTTTCATTTGAACTATTAATATTATAAATGAAATAATCAAAAAAATAGTTCAAATGAACATTAAAATAGTTCAAATGGACATAAAAACAGTCCAAATGAACAAAAAAATAGTTCAAATGAACACAAAAATAGTTTAAATGAACAAAAAAAATAGTTCAAATGGACATAAAAATAGTTCAAACGAAATAAAATAGTAAAAATGCACTTAAAATATAGTTTAAATGAAGAAAAATAGTTCAAATGAAAAAGTTCAAATGACAAAAAAATAGTTCAAATGAAATAGTTCAAATGAATAGTTCAAATGAACAAAAAAATAGTTCAAATGAGAAAAAAATATTTCTTATGAAAATGACAAAAAATAGTCAAAATGAACAAAAAATAGTTAAAATGAGAAAAAATAGTTAAAATGAGAAAAAAATAGTTCAAATGGACAAACAAATAGTTGAAATGAACAAAAAAATAGTCACAATGAACAAAAAAGTAATTCAAATTGACGTAAAAAATAGTTCAAACAGACAAAAAAATGGTTCAAATGGACATAAAAATAGTTCAAATGGACAAAAAAATAGTTCAAATGAACACAAGAATAGTTCAAATGAGAAAAAAATATTTCAAATGAAAATTACAAAAAAATAGTTAAAACGAACAAAAAACAATTTTAATTAATTAACAATTTTACACAGAAATGTTTTAAATAAACATAAAAATAGTTTAAATTAACAAAAACTAGTTCAAATGAACATTGAAATATCAAATGAACATAAAAATAGCTCATTTCTGTGTAATTGTTATCTAATTAATTGTCTCGAACTAACTTTATATGAGAATCATAAAAAAAAATTAAAAACTGAATTGCGGTGAAAAGTAGTTCAAATGAGCAATAGTTCAAACGAACAATAGTTTAAACGAACAATAGTTCAAACGGGAGTAGTTCAAGTATCTAGAACATGGATATTTAATAGTAACATATTTCTCAATTGAAATTCTCTCAATAAATTAATGTTAGAATCAATTATTTATTTTTCATCATTATATTGAATTTCTTTATGCATTTGTTAGAATATTTCTTCGAATTCTTCAAATGTCATCTCTTCAATAAAAATTCCAGGAAATCACAGGAAATGTTTGTGAACAGTGAGACATTACAGAAATCAATAACTGAATAAGATTACTTATTTTCGATGATAATAGTTAATTTCTATTTTCTCAACCTGTTACTAAACAACTAATTATTTGCTGTAGAATTTTTACTACATTTTTCGTCGGGGTTAATGAGTAATTTGTTTTAAACCAATTCTCAAAATCATCCCTCAAAAATTAGCAATCTATGAGGATTTTAAAGATTAAATTTGCGCTCCTGCTGAAAAAATATGCACCGAAAAAACGTCTCATAAGTCTCAAATTATTCCTAAAAAATTTCTCCACAATACTATACATCCTCAGTTCAACTACCATACAGTGCCCGTCACTCCCTTTAAAGGGTACCGATGTAACGTAAAATTAGTGGGGATTAAGTCTTTTTGCAATAAATTTTTTTTATTAAATAATTTTTTTAAATTCTACTTAAAATGCATCTGACCTAGTTTGGCGAATCGGTTAACACGGTAAACCAGAACATTTAAATTCCTTTCTTATATCTTTTATCTGGGACTTTTTTCTTATAATCAATCACAGTAATCAATAAATATCATTTTCTGGATACATAATTACTAGTGATGACGACCATGATGTCCTCCATGATGACCTCCATGATGCCCTCCATGATGACCACCATGATGACCATGATGAGGTCGATGATGATGATGTGACTCCTCAGCAAGTATTGCCCCAGCAACAACCCCAGCTGCAAATCCAAAACCACTACCAACCTAATTTAGAATTGCTTTAAGAATCATGAAAGTGTCAAAAATCTGTGCTTTTAGAACTTTATTTAAAAAGCGTTGAGCAGTACTCTGTAAATTAATAGAAAATAAATAGATATGAATATTAGTCACTTTTTTTCTTTTATTTTCTCGATGCGGCCCCATGATGGATGAAATTATAAATTAATCACTTTTTGTAACAACAACGTATCAAAATTGTACAGTAATCACTTCTTGTACTTGCGAAAAATCTAGAATTTTCTGCCAACAAAATTTTCTATAAGCCTTATTCATTTTTTTAAAATGATTTATTCTTCTTAAATTTTCTGATTTGTCCCCCAAATCGTAATTTAGACCCATTGACACGGTCTAATTTGATGTGGGACACCTTGTACTTCTTGTACTGATGAAACTATGCAGTAAGTACTGCTTGTACTGACACGGCCCCATGACGGATTAAATTATGCAGTAATCACTTCTTTTACCGACGGGGCCCTATGACGGATGAAATTATGCAATCACTTCTTGTACCGACGGGACCCCATGACGGATGAAATTATGCAGTAAGTACTTCTTGTACTGACGCGGCCCCATGATGGATGAAACTATAATGCAGTAAGTACTGCTTGTACTGAGGCAGCCCCATGACGGATTAAATTATGCAGTAAGTACTTCTTGTACTGACGCGGCCCCATGATGGATTAAAATATGCAGTAAGTACTTCTTGTACTGACACGGCCCCATAATGGATGAAATTATGTAGTAATCACTTCTTGTACTGCAGACGCGGCCCCATGACGGATGAAATTATGCATTAATTACTTCTTGTACCGACGGGGCCCCATGAGTCCAGGGGCGGATACAAGGGGGGCGGGGGGACATTCGCCCCCCCCCTGATATTTCGAGGCAAAAAATGTTCCCAATTTGATAAATGTTATTGTTAACGATAAATTTAGAATTAGAAATTTGTAAGAAACTAGACTTAAGTTATAATATTGTTCATATCTAGTAATGTTCCTTAATCAATCATTTATCAAAATTGTAATATTGATCCTAATTTTCATGCATTTAAAGTATAACTAGTAATTTTTTTTTCTTCTTAAATTGCTAATGTTCCTATTATTGTTCCTGTTCCTGTGTCCGACCCACCTTAAATCCCTGTCCTAATCCTACATTTTTGTTCCTAATTCCAAAACAATCTGTTTATTGTTCCTAAATCCCTGTCCTAATCCTTTAACTTTGTTCCTAATTCCTTAAAAATCTTTTAATTGTTCCTAAATTCCTGATCTAATCCTTTAATTTTGTTCCTAAAATTTAAAAATCTAGTTTTTAGTCTTTAGTCATTAATTTTGACTCTTTTTAAGTCTTTTAAGTCAAAAAAAAAATTTTCGTTTGCGGCACGATTTTTTTTTCATAATTATTCATTTTTTTGTTCCTAAAAAATCTTGCCCCCCNGCAGTAATCCCTTCTTGTACCGACGGGGCCCCTAGTGATGAATGAAATTGTACAGAAATCACTGCTTGACCCTTTTCAAGAATTATGAGACAAAATTAACAAACAAATAATAAAACAAATATGTGATTATGTATATAACAGATGGACGACACACAAATAAAACTTTTTTTTAACGCACTAAAAGTATATGATTTGAGGTAAGATATTAGAAATGCTAATAAGAATTTGGCCAATGAAAGAAAATTCTTAATATTTAAACAATTTTCGTTAAACCCACAACCAATTGAAGTTATATGNAAATTTTTCTAAATACCCATAGCCCTTTTCTACTGTACTTATTCCTGTAACAAACTAAATCTTTGGTTTGACCCACTTTCAGTTGTCATATTTTGATAATTTTTAGCTTTTTAGAAAGCATTAGACATAAGAAAACAGATTGCACAAGTATTGCAAAGAAATTTTTTTTTGCAAATTATTCAAAAGAAACTTGCACATTTTTAGTTTTTCTTAATTACACATCAGGATAATTAAGATTTTGCAAAATTTTTGCATATTTGAAATGGCATGATCAAGGAATTTTCAAAAATAAATATTTTATCAATTTTTGTCTTAATAACTGGATTTTGCAATTTATTAGAGGGGGGGGGGCAAATTGACCCCTTTCCAGTATATCCTGGTTTTCAAGTACCCCATCAAAGATAGGGTTAAGCAAGAAAATATTTTTTTTAACATTTTGTTCTTACGTAAACTTTATATGATACATTTGATGTTTTGCGGTTTATAAACCGCAAAACATGTGGTGAAGACAAAACATTTTTTATGGTATATTTAAAACTCCTCTATACCTTATTAAATTTAAAATTTTAAAGGAATAGAAAAAAAAATCCTTAAAAAAATTCTCAACAGTTTTTTTCCAAAAAATCTGTTTTTATGATTTAAATACATGTTTATTCTTACATTATGAAATATTAACAAAAGTATTGTATAAATAGTATATTTATTGATTTTTAAGTGGAAAAATGTTACAAATTACAACATTTTTCTGTAAAACCAAGCCAAACCATAATTTTAACAGAAGAAAACTATACAAAAGTTTACATTTATAAAGTCCTAATCAAAAGGACCCAGAATTAATTTACAATTAATCAGACGACTTTACAATCTAATTTTACAAACATAATTGATGATACGATAATAAAAAATAGCCCTAGTCCTGTCATTTCCAAAATGTGGTCTGCCGTTTTTGAGCATTTCGATTTCCAGAGATATGAATGTAAAGTCAATTACTGTATAATATATGTTATATCTTTTTTGTATTTTTTTTTAATAAATTCTTGCTTTTAATTGATTAATTGCAAAATATTAATAAAATGTAACAAATCACAGAAACCAAAACATTGTAAAAAATTGTCCATTAATGGGACAGTCTCTGTAATTCCAAGTGAACCTTAATTTTAGAAACTATACGATTCATTTACTTTTAAATATTGTTTTAGAAAATATAATATTCATATTTTCCCACCTGAAAATTGATCGTTTACAATTAGCAGTTTCTCTGTAATATTGATTTGCGGATTTATACAGCAGAGACATGGTAGGAAATATACAGAACAGTTTAGTAAGAAAAATACTCATCTCGACTAAAGGTTTATTAGACACTTCTTAAAGTAGAATCACTTGAAATTACGTCACCAGTCCCTTTCAGAAATTAATGTTTATTAATATGAAAATTGTAGATATTATAACAATCTTAAAGAAGACGACAATCGAGATGAGAAGTATTCTTCGGTTTCTTCGTCGTCGCATCTCGTCAGCATAACATGCCTGTACACAAATAGACAGGAAGTCCCAATAAACATGGAATTGAGAGACTACTTGAATATCGTCTTTGATTTCCGATAATTGATAAATGAAATTAACTTGAGCACAAAAAGATTGAAAGTCTAATGAGCTTTTAAAAATGCGGTCTACCTTCTATGTATCTTTAAAATTCACTGAAATATTTAACATTTAAACGGTTTTTAAGGTAGACCACAGTTTGGAAATCCCAAGACTAGTAATTTTCGGTGTTAAATGTTTGAAGCAATGACGACATATAAGTCGTAATTTAATTCCTATGTTTATTCCGGGACACCCTGTAGATTCAGGGAATAGGAAGACGACTAAAAGAGTTGGTTAGAATTTTTTAAAAACTCAATGAACATAAAATACTGCAATAGTGCAATGTTAAAATACCAAAAAGTATGAATCATTAAATGGAATGAAACTTCCCAGCAAGCAAAAATTGCCTTTATTCATTATAGAAGACGACATTTGTTTTAATCTTTATGAGACCAAGCAAAGTGCATAGATTTCCCTGTGCCACTGAGTAAAACCATTTGCTCTGTATCACTAACAAATATGTATTGCTTACATGTCGTTGCTTCCTTTGCCACAGTTTTATGGACTTATGAAGTGGACCTCACTATATTATTCCAGTTAAAACGATTTACAAAAAAAACTCCTACAGGGAGTCCCAATAAACGTGAACACTTTTAAATCGTTTGAACAAAATCATATTTTCTGGAATTCCAAAATGTGTTCTTCCATCTTTTTATCTTCAAAACTTTCAGTATCTCCTACTTAAACCACTTTTTGAAAATCTCACAAGACGCAAAATATTTTTTTTTACTTGTCAACTATCAGAATTTAAAGACGATTTGTGAGTTGTCTCTTAATCACCATTTTTACTGGGACGCCCTGTGGCCTAAGAATTTCAAAAAAACGAATTGAAATATGAAAAATTGAATTGAAAAAAATTGTCTACATATTTCCTAAAATTTCCACCCCTGTAAATTCCCTTTATCTATATATAAATTTGGCTTGTCTGTCTTGTTGTTTGTTTGTTTGTCTGTCTGTTTGTATCCAATAAACGTCAAAACGGCTGAACCGATCGGGCCCAAATTTTTTATGGGACCCCAGGGAAGGTTTATGAATGATCAAAATTTCAAATATTTGTCTCCATCAAAATTCGATCTTCATTAAATTTTTGAAAATTTTGAAAATCCACGAAATTTTTTGTGAAAATCCGCGAATTATTTTTGTTTTGTTTTACGATGCACAAAAAGAGAACATGCTCACAATTAATTTAGAAGATGGGCGCGAAGCGCCCTCTAAGGCTAGTATTCAAAGTTACTATAGTGTGAAATGTAACTGATAAATGTAAATGATAAGGCTAGTATTGGTAAACTCTTTTTAGACATTCTGAGTTGGATGTTATAGGAAGTTGTACAAAACTGTTAATTGTCCCTTTAAAAGAGCTTTCCAAAAAAAATTCTGACAAATAATTTTTTGTATCGATCATTATCCCCGTAATCTGTTTCTGTCATGTGATTTTGAGATTTGAATTTTGTTGTTGTTCATTTTCGAGAACACTCATTGATTTTTCATATATTCCATAGACATTAGACAAATCTGCTTTTTTAACCGTACCATTAACTTTCATGAATTAGGATAAGACATCAGCTTTCTACTAAGTTAAAACCTCAAAGGACAAAACAAACACTTTTTCACGAACATGTTTCGACAAAATATTGACAAGGAAAATAGAAAAGTATTGTTTTTGACATACTCATACATAATATAAATACAGATTTAGGCATAATTTTTATTCATTTTTTTATTTAAATGCTTTAGGCTTTTAGGAGACTTCACAAAAATCTTTAAAAAATTTATTTTCTTACAGTTTGTTTTTATTACAATATGCAAAATCTTAACTCTGGCAGAAGATATCTATATATAAATTTGGCTTGTCTGTCTGTCCGTTTGTATCTGCAATGAACGTCAAACGACTGAACCGATCGGGCCAAAATTTTGTGAGGGACCTCACGTGACCCCAGGGAAGGTTTATGAATGATCGAAACTTGAAAAATTTGTGTTAAAAGTTTATTTATTTTTGTAAAATATTTTAAAATCTTGAAAATCCGCGATTTTTTTCATAAAATCCGCGAAATTCTTTTCTTCTTTGTTTTTCAATGTTTACAATGAGAACATGTTCACAATTAAAATAGAAGATGGGCGCTAAGCGCCCTAAAAACCTAGTAAACCTATAAGATTGATTAATCTCCTTCATTCAGCCTTATATCTTCGGACAAAGACAAAATATAGGATAATTTTATATAAAAAAGTGATAAAAAATTAAATGTTAAATTACGTTAGACATAGTAGATTTTTTTGAAGCCTCTTAACCCTATCTGTCCTGGAGGGGGGTGGGTCAAGATGACCCCCCCTCTATAGTTATTTTACTATAATTCAAAAAGTATTTATAACTCTTTGGTAAGCCTATTACAAAAGCAAAATTTTGCAATAAACATTTGGATTTTTGCAAATTTGCCTTTTTTTGCGGATTTCTGAAGTAGAACCAAAAGGCTTACAAAAAACGTATCAAATTTTAAAGATTTGTATCACAATAAGTAAAAAGAGGGGGTGGGGTTATTTTAACCCCCCCCCCCCGCCCCAGGCAGCCAGTCAGTAAACCAGACGTCAGGTCAAATAGGGTTAATTTGCCAAGAACTTTAGAAAATCTATTACTTCCAAAACTGAATAATTTTTGTGAAAAAATATGTTGAAATTTTGTCATCTGAAAAAAAGTCTAAAGATAACATAAAAATCTTACCCTGTTCTCATGCACAATAACATCCTGATGTACAACGCGATCATGGTGTACAATAACATCTTGGTGTACACTGGGATACCCAGTGCTGTTTACAATCACTGTGGGCTGAAAATACGCAATATTATTTAATAATATTTATTTGAAGGGAAGAGTAAGCGTAAGTTCCGTAAGTACTATGAACCTTCATGCTGAGAAACCAATGGCCGCTCCGCAATTGAAAATAATTAATTTTCAAAATTATAAGAATATTAGTTTCTAAATCATCTATATAATAAAACAGAACATTCCCATATATCTTCCTTATAGCCGACCAAACGGCTGGACCGAATGGGCTGACATTCCACGAAATAACATAAGCTAAGGAGAATTCAATTTTTTCATTTTTTTCTTAAAATTCCACAGGTAACGCCGGGCACTTCAGCTAGTACTTGACAAGACAAAGCTTTGGAGAGTACCGTCGGGTATTGTCATCTTTGCATGGCCGGAGGGCCACTTGAAATTACCCGTACAGTCCCTTTAAGAATTAAATATATCTTTCTAGAACAAATTGAAACTGAGATAATTTTTTCTAATTGCTATGAACTGAAATATGATTATATACTTACTATAGATGAGAACCGTTTTTGCTCTTTTTCAACTTTCTAGGTTATTTACTTATAAGTAATTGTGAAATATTTTACAATTCCAACTTTTTTTTACGAAATGTTTCTGTAGTAAGTATGTTACATTAGTAAGTCATTGTATTTAAAAAAATCCATTCACAAAAAAGATGATGGATCAGGCAAAGCTTTTAATGGTACCGTTGTAAATCGCACATGCTAATCTAAAAATAGCAGGTATTGGAAATTATGTCCACAGTCATTTTAAAACAAAATTCCCCTGATGACCAACTCTACCTGAAAGATGGCCGACTCTACCTGAAAGATGGTCAACTCTACCTGAAAGATGGTCAACTCTACCTGAAAGATGGTCAAGTCTACCTTAAAGCTGGCCAACTCTACCTGTGATTGTGAATATGGCGGAGGGTATACTGGATACTGCCCTTGTACAGGATATCCCTAAATACCCAAAATACCTAAATACCATTCATACAAAATATTCAAAATTAGTGACGACTTTTGATTTTCTACGAGGCATTGTTTTGTTTTCAATTGCTGGGGCCTACTATAAAAAAAGTAAAAACTGAAAACTCTTACAGTGATTATCAGAAAACAATGGAACAGGAAGACGACATTATAACAATATTTAATTGTATTTGATGGTATTACAAGGCGAATACTTTTACTAGACACTTATAAAATCACTTATTTTGTGAAATGGGTCTGGTAACACTGCACAATTAAGGTCAATGAACTTTTTTAAGATAAAACTTGATTCTCAGAGTAGAATACCATTCATACAAAATATTCAAAATTAGTGACGACTTTTGATTTTCTACGAGGCATTGTTTTGTTTTCAATTGCTGGGGCCTACTATAAAAAAGTAAAAACTGAAAACTCTTACAGTGATTATCAGAAAACAATGGAACAGGAAGACGACATTATAACAATATTTAATTGTATTTGATGGTATTACAAGGCGAATACTTTTACTAGACACTTATAAAATCACTTATTTTGTGAAATGGGTCTGGTAACACTGCACAATTAAGGTCAATGAACTTTTTTAAGATAAAACTTGATTCTCAGAGTAGTCATACTATTCCAGAGTTTTCTGGCTATCTCTGTACCTCGAAAATCCAGAATATTTATGCCTTTAGTTGTTTAGAAAAATTTGAATGTTAAAATTTATATGTGTACAAATCAAGTTTTCCACAATTAAAAGCATGTCTGTAGACTAATGAGGATAAGTCCGATATCCTCTTGGTGAATCTGATTGTTTTCAAAAACGATCGCTATTCATTGTTCTAAAAGTTCAAAACAGTGGGTTGTTTTAAAAAAAGATACATTTGATTTTTGGGATGCGGAAATACAGTGAATCATGCAAAGGAATAAAACAATTGTTTGTAAATTGTATCAATGATGATCGTCAAAACGGCTGAACCCAACGATAAGTATGGACGACTAATTAGATCGAAGCCACAAAAACTCTTGCTCTTCATAAATGATAGCTTGTAGAAATGAGAGATCTATAGTTGTTTTTCACAAATTTTTCCATAAACATTAAGATCCACTTTAGTTTAAACGTACTCTGAATTAGACTTTAAATTAACAATTTAATTTTTCCATTTTTAAATTCGATATTCGAAGTTTTGTAATTTTGGGCCTTTTTTATTCGATGTTTTTTAATCTGATGTTTTGCTGTTGTGATACCTGTTGCGACGGGTATGGTTGCTGTTGAGGGGGATAGGAAGGCTGTTGTGGTGAGTAGGACGGCGGTTGAGGAGGATTGGATGGTTGTTGTGGTGGGGGGTAGGTTTGTTGTCGCGGATAAGGATTATTAGGCGGCTGACTCATTTTAAATTCTACAAAATATATTTAATTATGAAATAACAATTAAATGGAAAAACGCAGTGTTGATATCTAAGGTTATTTTTATATTTGCCAAGATAGAATAGATAGAAAGGAATACAATACTTTTAGATTCCAATGCAAGTCAATGAATGCTTTAATTTTCTAAGAGAAAAACTTTGAAATGGAAAGTGAGAACCAGAAAACTCGACTAAAAATATTGGCTTTGTAACATGAAACTTTTTTATGACCTTATTGTCCTCTTCTGCAGTATTCCGGTTATTATTGTAGCTTTTTTTGCAAAAAAGTAAAACGCCCGCTTTTTTGTAGTTTTTAAACTGAACTATACCGATGAGCAACAAGGTAAATAATACCAAACTTAAAGCTGAACTGAAAAGACTGAAGGAAAAAGATAAGAATTTTTACCGCCACCTTTATCTATTATTTCGCGGAGTAGTACTAACGAAGTAATATACGTCAGCTGAAACGTCTATAAAAAAAAACCACATTGTCATCATGCAGGGGAATCCATAAAACGTTGGAATGAGAAGACAACTATTAGACTCAAGTTTTGACTTTAAATCATAGATATACAAGAAGATAGATCGCTAATGCAGACTGTAAAGCTGAAAATTGTACAACCCCTTGTACATCATGAACTCGTCGTTTGAAAAGGTCATTGAATACGTTTTACTTCTGGGGGTCAATCTGTAGAGTATTTTTTTTTTACTAATTTATTTAAAGAAGTTTAATAAAAAGTAAAAGATAGCATTCTCCCATTAACTATTTTAGCTTGTGTGATTTTCATGCGTGTTTGCGCAGCGCAGAAACACATGATTTTGCTAAAAAAATAACATATTTGTGAAATGAAATCAAAGTTTTTAAGAAAGTTGAAAGATTTGAAGGAAAACGCACAGGCGCACGAGCGGGGGAAGGCAGGCGGCCATGAGCCACCACTATTTCCCCTTCCGTGCCACATATTAGCTTTTTTCTCTTCCAGCAGCAATGAGCCACCACTATTTCCCCTTCCGTACCACCGCATTTGACTCTTCCGGGCAAAACTACTTTTTTTAATGGTAGGGCCTTTAAAGTGTGATTGTAAAATATCCAGCCGCGTCATGCAAAAAAGCACAATTAAAACCATTTTTTCAATTCTACTTAAGATTATTATTTTGTGTGTTGAATTCTTAAACTGTTTTACAATGAAATTTTTGACAAATTTGACTGAGTATTGCATCTTGAAATATCACAAAGTTGGTTAATGAGTAATTTTATGATGGGTTTAGTATAATGAGTCAGTAATTGAATAATCATTTGAAATTCAACTTTCAACTAGTATGTCTGCAATATTTGTAAACAAACCCCCGTAAATACAAATATTCTTGCCTGAAACCTTTATATACGCTAATCCTTTACTAATTGTATAGGCTATAAACTATACCGAGAGCGTACTGCATATTTGTTTACTATAAGTTGATTCTGGCCTAACTTATAGTATATCAATAAATTAGGAAACAGTTGTAAGTGTTCAGTACAGCTACAGCGAACTATCATCCCCCCCCCCTGATTTCAACTGTAACCGGTATGGTGAAGACGACATAAGCGATCTATATTCTTGGGGGGAATGTGTGTGAAAGGTATATTATGCTTTAAATACAGTGATAATTTGAAATGGGAAGACGACATTAAACATTACTTGATTTAGCAATACTTATATTTAATGTTGTTAAAAATAAAATATTTTCAACTAGACACTTATTATACAGGGTGTCCCAATAAATATGGGAATTCAGTGACGAATTCGATATCGTCTTTTTAAATAATTCTTTGATTTAGTATAGTGATACCTACTGAGAAAACTGTAATCTGTAAGAGTTTCGTCTGCTATATTCACATTTTGAAATTTTTTTTTATGATGTGACGACTGCATACGGTAAAACTGCATACGGCAAAACAAGAAAATTGCAATATACAAACAGAGTAAACTTGTCCGTCTTCACTGTTCATCTTGCGGAGACATTATAGAAACATCTTTACAGTCTTTTACCCTTTTCATAAAATAAACTCTAGCAGACATAATAATATTATGGCTTTTGAAATTAGGTATTACGATGCTAATTAATAACAAAGACGATATCGAATTCGTCACTAAATTCCCATGTCTTTTGGGACACCCTGTAAGCTATTTGGTAAAATGATTTACTTTAAAAGATCATTAAATTCTCATAACAATCTTAAATATCTTCCTCGTATTCCACAGTTTTATGCAGGTCTCACTGTTAGAACTGAAATCGTAACAGAATTCATAGTTTTAAATATCAAATGGTCTTAATGAAATTAAGTAAAAGTATAAATACATTTCTACAAGTCGTCATAAAGAATTTTGTCTTCAAGAGTCTAAAGGCATGATTTCAAATGACCAATTAATCATGTTCAATTGTGGGTTCTGTTCCTGAATTTTAAATTTTGATATGACAACTAGCTGGGAAGTGGGAACCCAATCGCTCAAGGGGATCCAAAGTTATTATCGGACACACAAACAAATGTACAGACAGACAAACAGAGAGATATTACTACTTTATTTACATAGGTACGATAGTAATGTAGTGGAATGTTTTTATATTTCTTTCAGGGAAAATCAATTATAATTAAAACATCATTATATCTCTGGTCTTCGAAAGACACTTTCACAGACTGCAGCGTTTGTTTTCATTGAATTACTGTGAATACTAATTAATACAGAACATACATTTAATAAAACAATTGATTACATTAGATATTATGCTACTTAGTATAATTATGTAGAGTAAAAAGCACTTAAGATGAGGAATATGTTATTTTTCAAATGATTTGATAAAATATATATAAATATAATGCAAAATACTAAAATATTCTTTTTAAAATGTGTAATCTTTCTTTGAAAACTATGTGTTTTATACATTTAGAAAAGTTTGAAATGCGCTAAAAATATTTTTAAAAATTCGCAATTTTTCAAAATGACCGGAACAAGTAGTATTTATGATCAGGTATTAAATAATAAAAGAATCTTTATTTTAGGAATGATAAAAGGCTTTTCTATTTTAATAACACGATATTTAATTGAACTTAGTATGCATGGTGTTGTGGAAAGCTTCTTTAGGATTCAATTGAGACATATAAAACTTTTTAAAGATCTGTAAATCCTGAGTTTGAGCGCAAATTTGACGTTCAAAACTCCTCCTTTGGCGTGGATACGTTTTCAGAATCGGTTTTTTGATTATTAAATAACGACGACAAAAAAATTTAAACAAAACTCTACAGTAAATTAATTAGTTCAAGAAAAAGAAAATAAGAAATTCAATATAATTAAGAAAACGAAATAATTGATTCTAGCATTGATTTATTGACAAATTTCTTTTGAGAAATATGTTCCCAACTATCTAATTCGATTACTGTATGATTTTTACTTTATTTTTTGTCGTCGTTATTTAGTAATTCAAAAAAACCCGATTCTGAAAACGTATTCAACCCCAAAGTAAGAGTTTTGAATGTCGAATTTGCGCTCAATCTCAGGATTTACAGATCTTTAAAAAGTTTTATATGTCTTAAATGAATCCTAACGAAGCTTTCCACAACACTGCATACTCAGTTCAACTACCTCACGTGGATTTAACGGTTCTGTCAATATTCCAGAAAGCTGTGACTTTCGATCACAATTTTACCCATTATACATAATTTGTTAGCATTTTTTCTTAAATACTTTTTTTTTGGCATATGCATTTTGAATGAAAAAGTATAAAAGAAACAAATCCGTAAAGTAAATGATTATTGAATTATAGACCAAAACACGTTTGATTTCAAATAGAAGAAACCGAATGCTGCTCACTCTGGTTAGTCCGGTGTGATCTTACATAGCCGGTCTGTTCCTTTAAAAGGAGAAAGCTTCGAAAGATCTTTCTAAACCCTTGCAACCTAAAGCCCGAATTTTATTCATTTGATGTGAACACTTATAGCTTTATCAATATACAAATACGTTTTCAGACATCCTCTGAGAACGCTTGGGGGTTTCTTAGTGCTATTTTATTCAACCCTATAAAGAGGTTTGTATAAAATATAGATTAAAAAGAAAAAAATGACATAAAATGAGTTTACAATTGTTTAAGAATTCGTCAATTGTCCCTTTTCTACGGGGCAAGAGTTACCGTGACTCCTCTACAAGATGACTATTATGAAATTAGGTAAATTAAAAAATCTGAAATATTATTCAAGGGGTATAAGAAGACGAATTGTTGCTAAAAGGCTAAATGTTATATCAGATGGATAATTGGCCTATTTAAAATAATAACTTTAGTCTAACAGTCGTCTTTTTATTCCACAGTTTTATGGGTCCAATTATGTAATCAAATAAAATCAAGCCATGACTACTATATTAAACAAAAATTATAATCAATATAGCTGTAAAAAATGTAGCTTCTTTAAAGCTAAAAACTGGAATTTCTTTGTTTTTGCAAACAGATATTGTAGGTCTTAAAATGTATCAATATATAAATTCCTTTAAATCAAATTGTCAAACACCTGAGCCAGTGATTAAAAAAATTTAACAAATTCGACTTGGGTCTAAGCTGTCGTTGGGCCTTATTTACGGCTTGAGCTTTTGGATTTAGGTTGCAATGCATCTAATTTTTGAAAGAGTTGAGTTCATGAAACCGGTTTAATATTGTATTTGGCGGATTTATTTTAGGAATTGGCGCATTCCGGGTTTTGATGAGAAAAAGAATCCACATTGAGCCTTATTCGCCTTATTATCTACTAAAACCAACCAATGTCGGTTTTATTTTCATTGGGCCTAACTCCGTAAGTCAAGCCTAAGATCTCTCAGCTGTCAATCACGTGACACAAGCTGTCGTCAGAGTTGGGTCTAAGCTTGGGTAAGGAATTACGACCCGAGCCGAAGCTTTTAAATCCTGGGCTCAGGATCTTTAACATATAGTGAGAACCAGAAAACTCTGGAATAGGAAGACTTTTAGACTCAAGTTATGACTTTAATTAGTCCGATTTAAAATATCCAATGAACATAAACCAAAGCCATAGTGCAGTGTGACCAGAAACATTTCAATTTTTAAGTAATTTTTTAGCTACTGGTAAAAATTTTTCTTTCTAACGACATCAAATTCACTTCAGTACTGCTTTATTGTCGTCTTCTTATCCTACAGCTTTCTGGTTATCACTGTATATAATAAAAAACCGGCAATCGACGTCACATCTTTTATTTAGTATTAGGCCGCTGTTGTTTGTTTACATCATGTCTTGGTTTTTTACAATCTGCAGTTTTGTGTCAGGTAATCTTCTTTAACAACTAAAATTATCTTTTTCAGATTTTTTTTGTACTTTGTCTGGATTTTTATATTTGCGGCCAAAAATGTGTATGTACCCACTTCGGCTAAAATTAATATCCACAACGTAAAATTTTTAATTAGTATTTTTAAAGGAAATGTAAACTTAATTTAAAATGCAGCCCCAGCCCCTCAATTTTAGGGAGTCATGTCCTATTATCAATTATCATACATGATCATGTTTTCATGGTTTAATAAACCATAATTTTAAATTGTGAATTCTCTGCAGAAGTGATTTTATCTAAATACTAAATACTAGAAATACGAAGATATCTTCCAAATTCTTGATTCTTGAATCTAACATGCTTTTATGTTAATTATGTTACTTGCAATCACGCGTTCAGTCCCTTTAAGAAGGTTTATACTTTATTCTGGAGGAAGAATCAAGGGGAACTGACTAAAGACTATAGACGCAATTTATCAGATTCAAAATACAAAAGTTTTCGCCTCTGGGCGAACATTCCCTTATTTAAGCAATAGCTTTTTTTTGGAAAATTTTGGGACAATGACTATCTATATTTATTTTTTAAGTAAAGAAATGGACCCTGCTTAGTTTTAGTTTTTTTCTTTCATATTTATTCATTTCTTTCTTTTATAGATCGCTATCAGATTACAGTGCTAATATTTTCCCCGTCAAAATTTATTTTGAACTCAAAATAAATCCTTGATAACGAATGTCACAAATACATGTAAAAAAACACAAGTTCACCCTTCTGTATCTATACATGAGGATTTTTGTTCTTCTAAATTACATTGATAAATTGCAGGTATTGTAGGTAAATTAGTGATAGCTGGGAAACTACTGGCAGGGATGGTTCTTTCTCTTATCCATTTTGTATCCAGTGTTCTAGTTTGGATATCCACACCAATATCCAGTCTAAAGGTTAGTATTGTATCCAGAGCTCTAGTTTGGATATCCACATCTATTTCCAGTCTAAAGGTTAAAGTATGGTATCCAATGCTCTAGTTTGGATATCCACACCTGTATCCAGTCTAAAGGATATATTGTATCCAGAGCTGTAATGTGGATATCCACACCTATTTCCAGTCTTTAAGGTAGTAATGTACGCAGAGCTCTAGTTTGGATATCCACACCTATAATCAGTCTTTAAGGTAGTAATGTATGCAGAGCTCTAGTTTGGATATCCACACCTATAATCAGTCTTTAAGGTAGTAATGTATGCAGAGCTCTAGTTTGGATATCCACACCTTTATCCAGTCTAAAGGTTATAGCATTGCATCCATAGCTCTATTTTGGTTATCCACACCTATATCCAGTATAAATGTTAGTTGTATTCAGAGCTCTAGTTTGGATATCCATACCTGTATCCAGTCTTTAAGGCTTCTAATTGACTGTTTGGTTTCTACAATCGACACTCTAATTGGTTCCTTTAAGCTACTTTACTGGATATTAATGTAAGATTAAATTAATCTTTAGATTAATAAAAAGAGGAGATCAAGCATTGATCTCGATATCCACAACTCTTAAGCTTTCAGCTCAGAAGACAAATAAGAATTGATTAACTAATACCCTATATAAATTATATAAAGATTGAGTTGAAACTGGATGAACCAGTAATTATTACTGGGTTGGATGGACAACTGGCAGTTCTCACAGTTACTAAGAGTGGACAAAGGTACGTATCATTATTGATCATCAAAACAAACTGATTACTTTCCTCAAACTCTAATTTCTTAATCCTTAAAATGGATTCTTCATAATCAAATAATCAAAGTTTGAAATATCAAAATTTAAAAAGAGAATTTTAAAAGATTGACTAAACGAATGTAGAAGGTATAATATTACAATATTTTGTATCTAGGTATGATATTGAGGTGATTGGAAAGGAAGATGAGACTGCTAACCTGCAGGCTACTCTACAGGTTGAAGAGAATGGGGTTGAGCTGACCGCTAATACGAAGGAAGATATTGATTCTATGGTTAGATTAACCTATTCTAAGCAGCAGAAACAAGAAGAGAATAACAATACTAAAAAATCAAACTAATATTATTACAATTTTTAAAATTGATTTTTATTTTTTTCATTTGTTGATTCTAAATAAAATATTGTTTATTTTTACCTAGACTTAATTTACAGAAGAATACTTTAAAATAAATAAATGGATCTAACTAAAGATTATTATTTTTGACTCCATATTTCATCTATTAGTTGGCTTGTCTGTTGATCTGTTTGTTTGTTCGCACCCAAAAACTTCAATACAACTGAACCGATCGGGCCCAAAATTTAGTATGACCCCAAGGAAGGTTTTTACCGGGTCAAAGGTGAAAATGTTTAGAAAAATGAGGATTCTGAAATGCTGTGAAAATCCGTGAATCCTGAGAAAAACATCTGCTTTATGCGAGAAATGTGGTATTTTGGAAAGCAACATTTAAAGGCTCAAGTTTTTACTAGAAAATTGGTTACCCTATAGGAAGTACTAGGAGCTACTAGGAGCTACTAGGAGCTACTAGGAGCTCTTGAATTATTCAATCTTAAATTCAAGATGAGAGCGTTAGAGACATTCTTGAAAACAAAGCTACTACAACTTAATATTTATCTATGAATGTTTGTATGTCCGATCATTATTTACGAATTCCTTGATCGATTTGAATCAAATTATGATCGGGGAGCTCGTTAGAACTACAGAAATTGTCTTAACTTATTTTTTACAAAGAACTCCAGTCAAAGCTAGTTTTCCAATCAAAATAACTATAGCTTTAAGATATTTCATCGAGCATTGAATTTTGAAGGAATTGCAATTTATTATATAAAACCCACTTTGCTTTAATACATGAAGTAAAATAATTAATCTAAACTAAACGAAATAAAGTTAAGAGACGATCAGAAATATATAGTTCATTTTTAACCATCTGAATTCTCAATTTTGTTTTCTACCTTTCCTTTACGAGGTAAAGGTTATGATTTGGTAAAGAAACCATCAAGGTGTAGCGAGGGGAGGAATGCCAACCACAACAATTTCTCGTCCGAGCCACATTCATTTTCTAGTCCGCACCACCTCGGAATCATCGTTCTTCGATTATTATGTGTTATAAAGTTTCTAGATCTCGAAGATAAAATTATTTCTTAAAACTCTGGCCACGTTAGTGCATAAAATATGGATGAACTAAAGTATTGCAATGATTGTATCATGTTGGAATCTTAAAAAAGATTGAAGTTCTATAAACTCGGAATTGTTTGCGACATTCTACACCAGGAATATATGAAAATGTGCGTGAAAAGGTTAAACATTTTTAAAGACATTAAACTTGAAAACTTTAAGTTAATTGAAACTTTTTTTTCGATTTACAAAAATTCAATACTTTATTTATCCCCTAACGTGGCCCAATTCTTAAAAAATAGTTTTATGTAGGAGGATTAGACACTTGAAAAAAAAAAAATAATATTGGAAGGACAAGGATTTCGAGGTGGCTCGGACTAGAAAATGAGGAGAATGTGTCTCTGACGAGATATTGTGGTGGTTGGCCTTCCTCCCCTGTTTTAGCTAGGAAGGACCCACAAATTCAACCCCTTATTTTAATCCTATTTATTTAGTTTGTAATTAAAATCCTAAGAATTAACGAAATTTGCCGTTATTTAAAAAAAGCATCTTTTCAATTCGTCTAACTTTTCCATTATATATTTTTCATGGACGGTTTATTTCGTTAAAATTTTTAATTTGTGCCCTGTTAGTTCTCAGAGATCTGAATACTCTGGTTCATTCGAAGTACAGGACTCACGTTTAGGTAGATAAGGAAAGCTTTGCAGTATATTTGTACATTCAGACTTTAGACGGCAAAGCGGGGCCAGTACATTAAATGAATCAACCCCCTTTTAATTTATGATATTAATGTTGTTAAATCGTAGATTTACCACTGTAACCGGGATTGGAGGTTCATAATTGTCAAGTATAATAGATCGAGGACGGACAAATAAAATAGAGAAGCAAATGATTGAGGATACTGTTCACCGCACTCACGCAGATAACTCCACAGAGTAAACAGACACGTATTTCCAGACGCGTAGTGGAGGCAGGCTCTAATTTATTAAACATTAAACTTACATATATATTCAGATTTTTTACTTTTCTTATCAATCGGCAATGAGACAATTTTTTATTTTTTCTTAATACCGGTTTTTTAGGGGGGTGCACATCAGCCGTTAGGGGGTTGCACAAAAAATAGCAAAATTGCACCCCCCCCCCTAGGCTAAACCTCCACTACGCGCCTGCTTATTTCATAAAAAAAACTTGGCGGAAAAAAAAGAGTCACGCTAGTAAAAATAAACGTGTGTACTTGAAGAAGTTTTTTTTACATTATACCAAAATCAAATAGATAAAAGTTTTTAAAAAAGAGCCAATTGAAATTATGGTTACCTAAAAGAATAGAATTATCCATTTTCCCAAAATATAATTCTTTAAGATTCTTTTAGATTATGGATTAGAATTTAAAAAATCTTGTGCTACTTCGAGATTTAGGTCTTCTTTCTTTCTTTCTAAATGTTATTTTTCTGTTTAGAAGATATGTAAATTCTATGCCCCCCCCCCCCCCCCCCNAGTTTCACAAGTCTTGGTGAGGAAAAAACAAATATAAAAAAATTATGCAATTTTACCTAAACGCTGACGTATAAAATTAATTAAGTGCTCTGTAAAATAACAAGAAAAATTAAAGAAGCAATTATTGTTGCAAAATAAATATGCTATATATTTTTGCCTGCAAAATTGGACTTTTCTCTTTTACAGAAGTGCAATGTCTAAAAAAGATCAGCTGTTTTCTGAGTATTGTCAGAGGTATCTGGACGGATACGGAATGGTAAGATTCACAGAGAAGGTTAAATTTATATGCTCATTACTGGTAGGACTTTGTGAACTTGCAGCTTCTCCAGTATTATGAAGAAAAAAAAATCTGGTTTATACTGATTTTGTTGAAAACTCTGAATAATTCTGAAAAATTCTAATTTAAAGGGTCCCCTCCGTCTCAAGAGTGGAATATCCACTTCACAGGATGTGTGTCACAAAAACATGGGAGTTAGAAGCGTCTGTTAAATATCAATGTGGAAGCGTTTTTTTCTGTCTGAAAAATATTTATTTACCAAAATTTCCCTCATCACTTCTCTATCACTTTACTGAGAAACCCCGGTTTAAAATTACGTTTTTGAAGAGAATTACGTTTATCGAATTATATTAGACAATACACAGGTTTATTGGGACACCTTGTGGAGTGTACACTGTACAGTGTGTGCAATTTTCAATTATTCAATTATAAAAAACATCATTCTTGGAAATAGAAAGTTAAAAGTTGAGAACTATTTTCACATTTTTTATCAGGGATTCCCATGATGTTTAATAATTTTCACACAGGAGAATTCTAAAATGTCGTCTTCCTATTTCACAATTTTATTGATCCTCCTGTAAATCCATATTTTAGTTAATATTTGGCTGTGTGAGCGTCATATCCAACAGTTTATCCATCCTGGTGCATCTGAACTACAAGGAATATAGTTTTACCTTCTCTTTCTTAAACTGACTGGAATGATTGCATATCTCATTCATTCACCACAAGAATAAATGAGATATGCATGTTTTCTGTTTGAAAAAATAATTGTGGTTTAACTTTTTTGTTTGTAGAGACTGCTTGATCTTCTAATTCAAGTATCAGCTTTAAAAATTGGAGCAATTTATTTAGTCAAGGAAAACCTATTATTTAGTCAAGATCAACATTTGAAAATCTGGTCACTCTTCTTTCCTTTCATGATCTTCTCTTCGTGATCATTACTGTTCCAGACTTATCTTTGATCTCAGGTACACCGAACTCATGGACTTACTCATTTACTGACTTACTCATTTACTGACCTCCTCAATTACTGACTTACTCATTTACTGACTTACTCATTTACTGACTTACTCATTCACTGACTTACTTATGTACTGACTTAATGATTTACCGGCTTATTGATTTACTGACTTATTAATTCATTTACTGACTTGTTAATTGATTTACTGACTTATTGATTGATTTACTGACGTACTTAATGTCTGACTGACTCACTGACTCACTGATTTACTGACTGATTGACAAAATAAATGACTGACTGGTTGCACAGCTGACCGACTGAGCAACTGACCAACGGACAAACTGACCAACATATCAACCGAACAACTGACCAACCGAGCAACTGTCCAACTAGCTAACTGACCAACCGACCGACTGACCAACTGAACAACTTAGCAACTAAGCAACTGAGAAACTGAGCCAACTTAGCAACTGAGCAACTGAGCAACTGAGCAATTAGGCAACTAATAATCTAGCCAACTAATCCAATGACAAACTAAGCAATTGACCAACTGACCAACTGACCAACTGACTAACCGACCAATTGACCAACTGACTAACTAGCCAATTGACCAACCGAAAAAGTAACCAACTGACCACAACTGACCCATTAACCACCTAATCAACCGACCAACTGACTCGTTAACTGCCTAGTTTTCAAATGGCCGATCTCCCACGGGCATCCTCTGATGAAGTTCCTGCTCCCGAACTTCTTGTTCCCGATGGAAAACTTGATGAACAACCTCAGGAACAACTTAGACCATCAACTATCGAATACAAACATTAATACAATAAAGACGACTTTTCTATTTAAGTTTTGATTTCTATCAAGCTTTTTTCAAATTACAAGTTTACAAGTAAACAAAGAGAAGCTCTTAATTAACAACTTCTCTTGTTTCCATGTTTGTGTATCTTTGATGTTTGAAAAATTGGTAGAAATCAAAAATTGAAATCCCAAATCGTCTTTTATCTGCTGAAACATACGACGACGTCTGCCTACATTCTTTTCTCAAATTTAATCACCATGTTCTTAATATTTGAAATACTTTGGGTTATCTTTTAATTGCGTACATGTCCCAATCCAGATATAATGATAAACCTTTATCTAAAAACAACAAAAGAGACTTTTAGATTGAATCGAAAAAAAATAAAATAGTTTAATTTTGTACGTTTCCAGTACCTTTCTTACAGTTTCAATATCTTTCGAGAGATGGCTGGCTGTTTGTCGACCCCTCATCCATAGGTTAGTTTAAATACTTTATCTAGGCTACTTTAAAGGGAGTGTTCGCGAAAAATGAAAGGGGGTACAGGCTTAATTCGATAAAAAAGCGCTTTTGATCGCTACTAATCTTACTTCTATCTGTTGCGTCTATAAGGAGAAAATTGTTTAAGACGTCTCATACCGAATAACTTAGCGGCCACACAAATTGAGAAAATTGCAACATACTACTTAGACCGTAAAAAATCAATTTAATTTCAAAATAGCTTCAAGCTATCGATCTGTAATATCAAATCTATCCTATGTAGTTTACGGTCTAAGTCGTATGTTCCAACTTCCTTAATTTGTATTGGCGCTACGCTCTTCGGTATGTGACGTCTTTATCAATTTTCTCCTTATAGACGCAAAATCTAGAAGTAAGATTAGTAGCGATCAAAAGCGCTTTTTTATCGCATTAAGCCTATACCCCCTTTCATTTTTCGCGAACACTCCCTTTAAGCCTATACCCCCTTTCATTTTTCGCGAACACTCCCTTTAAACATTTTATCCAGGGAAAGTTTTCGTGATTTGTAAGCTGTAGTTTAGTGTAATGTCGACCCAGTGCAACAAATGTAGCCCGGAAAGATCTCAGTATACTTAGATCCCCTGACTGGAAATAATCTACTTAAGTTGAAATAAATAAATCTTATTTTCATTTTAGAAACTTGAAGGGAACCTTCCTTGGAAGCGCTTGGATCCATTATATCAGTAGTGTAGTTCTAGCAACACTGGTTAACCTACCAAAGTGGTTTGAAACAGAAGTGGTACTTATTATAAACAATAATAATAAAAATAATGATGATAATAATAACAATAATAATAATAATAATAATAATAATAATAATAATAATAATGATAATAATAATAATAATAATGATAATAATGATTATAATAATAATAATGTTTACATTGAAGAGGAAGTGTTCCTGGGAAAGGAATATTGAAAATGTTTAGGTAGAAGAGGAAGTGTTCCTGGGAAAAGAATGGGATGACCGGAACAACACAGATCTCTGGATTAAAACTAAAACCTACCAAGCCACAGCTCTCCGTACCAATCCTACATATATACTGTAATTATACCTTTCTACAGGGTTACTTATACAAAAGATGAGACTTCAGAGACGACCTTGGGGAATTTATTCAGTCGTTAATCCTACTTTCTTGGTTCAGGGCAAAAGACAAAATTTTTTCTTTGTGTCTTTCCCAAATCATTTCATTCAATTTAAAAAAACTATTAGCATTGTAGGGAGCGAAATTCAGATGTTTTTTTTCAAGTTTTAGGTAGTTATTGATCTCATCCTTTGTAACTACCATCATTTAATGAAGTAAAATCTGTATCAGTATAAAGATAGAAAATCTAAGATGGTGGCTACCACTGAGAGTGTGAAGGGGGGGGGGCGTATGATATAACATTTTAGTGTGATTTCATTTACATAATAAGGACTACTTAACGAATCAGATGCGCTAAGCTTGCTAGAGGGGCCATACTCGTACCGACACGCCCTACTCGTACCGGCACAGCATGGTATATTTCTAATGCTATAAGCTGTTGTTTTAAACTAATGAAATTTTAAAAGATTTTATAAAAATCTAAATTTCAACAATGTTTACACTTTTCATATTTAATTTCAATCTTTTTTTTCTTTCTTTTCTGTATATTGTGTATAGTATTCTATCCCTGCATTGGCTTATTTGTCATGTACCCAGCAGACCCCGCTCATACTTTAAATCAACTTCGCTTATTATTATTTAATAATCTTAAAACTTACAGGGTTGTCTTTTAATACTTTTTCATTTTAAATGCATTTGCTAACAAAAAAGGATTCAAAAAGAAAATCGAAAATTTTTTGTTTGGTATGTCAAGTTGTTATCGAAAGTCACAGCTTGCTTGTAAATGGATCAGAGTGCGCTGTAGTTAATCCTAGTGCAAAATCTATCCTATGTAGCTTCAAGCTAGCGATCTGTAATATCAAATCTATCCTATGTAGCTTCAAGCTAGCGATCTGTAATATCAAATCTATCCTATGTAGCTTCAAGCTATCGATCTGTAATATCAAATCTCTGTATATTATCATTGTTTAATATCACTGAACTTTTATGTCATTTTTCTTATTGTTATGATCTACCATTATTATTAGCATCATTATAATTCTTTGGCTTTTTAATTTTATTTTTTATTTGTCGTAAAAACTTTTTCTCGAAAAGTACAAATTAAGTGCAGAACCCATAAAACAGTGTGTATAAGAAGACTGTGTGTAAGAAGACAGTGTATAAGAAGACAGTGTGTATAAGAAGACAGTGTGTATAAGAAGACAGTGTGTATAAGAAGACAGTGTGTATAGGAAGACGAATCAAGTTTTGACTTAGAACAGTCTAATGAATATTCAACACAACAATTGTGTTTTTATTTATAAGCTGATTTTCAAGCCACCGATAAAACTATAAATTGCGCATTATGGATTGTAACAACATAAAATAAACAGAAAATTGCTCTAATGTCGTCTTCTTATTTCGCAGTTTCATGAGTTCTACTGTATATATCATTACATTTATCTTTATTAGAAAGTTTCTTTAAGTTTAAAAAACTTATTTTGAGGTGAAATTCTGACCGGCACTAAATCAAATCACACTTTTTTTGTAAATAAAGAAACCAACCAACAATATTTTACGTTGGTATAGGTAGAAGATACAGAGACCATGAACTCTATTTTATGTTGAGGTACAAGATACAGAGACCATGAACTCTATTTTATGTTGGTATAGGTAGAAGATACAGAGACCATGAACTCTATTTTATGTTGGTATAGGTAGAAGATACAGAGACCATGAACTCTATTTTATGTTGGTATAGGTAGAAGATACGAGACCAAGAACTCTATTTTATGTAAAAAAAAAGAAAGACAAAACGAATATAAAGTAAACCATAAATGCTCAGTGGTCAGACGGCTTAGCTTAGGGACTTAATACAATGAATTTTCTTTTTTTCCGGCAAATATTGTACTAAGCCATCTTTATTCGAGTCACAGTGTACGTCTTGATAAACATGCTTCTTACATTTACTTGTATTAGTTGTACCTGTCAATGTAATCAGTATAACTATATTTAAAGGGACTGTACCTGTCAATGTAATCAGTATAACTATATTTAAAGGGACTGTACCTGTCATATAACTATATTTAAAGGGACTGTACCTGTCAATGTAATCAGTATAACTATATTTAAAGGGACTGTACCTGTCAATGTAATCAGTATAACTATATGGGACTGTACGCGTAATTTCAAGTGAACCTCCATTCAAAGATAGCAATGTCCGATTAACAACCTTGATTTGATCAATAATATAAAAGATATCTTTGCTTTTCTAGGTTTAAAAGTGTTTAATTCTTAGGTATATTTCCTTTGTTTTCCTGTAGTAGAAATTCAGAGAAACCAAATTGAAAATAATCAGTTTTCAGATATACAAACATTGATTTCTAATCAAACTTGATCTGACAAAGTTTTAAGTGTATCGTTGTGATTCGGGCATTGTCATCTTTGCATATTGGGTCACTAGAAATCATGTTTACAGTCCGTTTTATGAATAGTATGACCCAGGTACGGAATCATGTTTACAGTCCGTTTTATGAATAATATGACCCAGGTACGGAATCATGTTTACAGTCCGTTTTATAAATAATATGATCTAGGTACGGAATCATGTTTACAGTCCGTTTTATAAATAATATGACCTAGGTACGGAATCATGTTTGCAGTCCGTTTTATAAATAATATAATCTAGGTACGGAATGACAATTCCTCGGTGGTTGTTCCAGAGTATGGGTCCCCTCCTCCTACTTATAACCTTCAGTATTCTTACTGTTAACAGGCTCAAGTATGTAATTTATTTATTTAGTCATGATTTAGAATGTCGTCTTTGTTTTAAATTCTATGTTTATGAGATACTGCAATTTTAAATGCAAGTTTATCCACAAAGGAAAAAAGAAGACTGTACATAATTTATATAAAAGTTTTCCTTATATTTTTGGTTCCCCGCAACTGTAAACATAATATGTTTTAGAAAGAAGCCAGTATTTAAAAATCCTTGAATAAAAGTTGTCGTGTTAACATCAAATCAAAGATTCTAAAGAACGATAAATCATTTTAAAGATTTATTAAAAAAGTGAAAATATGCTAGCAGCACCAAATACAAGCCAAGAATTTTCAGCAGTTAAATTATTTCTGCGAAATCCTTATTTAAGAAACATAATCCTTTTTTTACAACAAGAGAAGAGACAGGATGGGATCGACTGTTTTCTATCCTTTTACGTAACGGCCTGTTTTCAACTAATAATCAAACATGGCAACGAATTGAAAGATTTTGGTTTAAAAAAACTTTTAGCCTTTTAGGGTTCGAAAAGAAAGTTAAAAAGATTGTTTGTTTTTTAAAGAATAATTTTTCTTCTAAATTTTCCGTTTCTTTTATTTAATCAGTTCTTAATCCGGTCCAATAAACTTCTTTAAAATTTCGAAGATTTTCCTTTCTTACCTATTAATTATTATATTTCAATCAATTGGAGTTAAAGTAACTTCCTTATCTATGCAGCAGAAATTTACTGGATTTTACTAGATTCAGATATAAAAAAATTTCATTGTTGTCATTTTAAACATCTCAAAATGGTCGTTTCAACTTGAATTTTTAATTTGAAAGATCTAATCTTTGGTTCTTTTAAACAATTTTTCTACGGGTGAGAGTCATGATTATTTCTTTACTTCCCAGTCTTTTCAGATCTTATTTCAGGATACGTATAATGTACATTACATATTCCAGGATACGTATAATGTACATTACATATTACTTCCATATAACATTAACAAGTATTTAAAGACATTTTTTAGAGTGAATGCTTTTTCTTTTTGATTCTCGTTAACGAATAATGAAACATTGAAAGGCGTTGATAGTCCTTTTTAACTTTCAGAGCCTTCAACGCGCGGTCTGAAAACAGAAATGAGGTTCGTGTCACCAGGTTGACCTTTCTTCTGATAGTGGAGTATCTGGTATTCAACATACCTAGGAAAATAATTATCATTCTTTATCCGTCATTACATGAAATAAATTGAACAAATCAACTAGAAAAACAAAAAAATTTCACATGCAAAAATTTGAAAACATTTTAAGAAATTGAAAATTAACTAAAAACTGTTTCAAAACTTTATTTCAAATCAAATGAATATAATAATCAAAAATTATTGAAAATCAATTTAGAATGGATTGAAATTGAATTAAAAATGACTTGCAAATGAATTAGAATTAGATTGAAAATGAATTAAAAAGTGAATTGAAAATAAAATCAAAATTAATTGAGAATATTTAAAAATTAATTAAATTTATTCCTGAAAAAGATAAAATATTTGACAAAATAGGAATATCCTTATCTTTGTGGAGGCATTTCTTACCAGGTAAATTTTGGTCAAATCTGATTGCGTAAATCTGATTTTGTAATTTTGTGCCAAATTTTTTTGTGTAAATTGAAGTCCCTCTGCCAAGTATGAAAATAATTAAAAGTAACATAACACAAAATTTGTTAAACAAGGATGGAACTTTTAAATGAGATAGCGCTAACCCTGCATGGACCTGAAATCGATATCTACCGAGAGAACTTTTAATTTGAAGCGAATATGTTTTAATCCCTTTGAATATCTAAACTGATTGAAGCTCTTAGAAAGGAACTTTATGTTCAGTAGAAGTACGAATATCCGTTTTCTGTTTAGTTAACCCATACTGACCCCAATAAAAATATGTTGTATTTTTAATTCGAAACCAAAACCTTTCATTAGATGGTATTTACATCTAATAGAAGGTTTATAGAATTTGAATTCAGGTTGGTTTAGGCATGAGCAGGCCTAGGGCTGGGCGTCATTCCAGGGGAAGGATCGTTTTTCACAAAAACGAACGGAACTATCAAGATCGATCTCATTGTTCCGAAAAAAAGAATAAACACATAGAACGCGTTCACAAAAAAAACATTGGAACGATTAATAAAAGTACAGAACGGAAATTGCAGGAAAATAACGTTAAAGTCAGGAACGCGTTGTAAGTCGGGAACGCATTTTAAATCAAGAATGTGTTCTAAATCATCTAGAGATCATTAAAATATTTTTTAATTCGATCACCTGACCAGAACAGAACGATTGAAAAAAAGGCGGAACGTGCCCCAGCCCTACCCAGGCTTACTTTGTCAAATCAAAATATTACAATTATAGCTTTATATAATGAAATTGTTTCAGCGAGACCCCGGACTGGTTTTTGAGTCTAATGAGGTAATTAAATACTTTTGGGTGTTCACAAACCCGTGTTTAGTGTTAAGTGTTTAGTTTTTAGTGTTTAGTGTTTTGTGTTTTGTGTTTAGTGTTTAGGGTTTAGTGTTTAGTGTTTAGTGTTTAGTTTTTAGTAGTTAGTGTTTATTGTTTAGTGTTTAATGTTTAGTGTTTAGTGTTTAGTGTTTAGTGTTTAGTGTTTTAGTGTTTAGTGTTTAGTGTTTCCTCGAATTTCAAAATACACCATAAAAAAAAGATTTAATTTTATTTAGATTTTTTAAGATGGCTTTTATATTTCTATTTTTTCGAAGTAATCAAAGAAAAAGCCTATAGATTTTATATGACCAAATAAATATTAAATATCCAATAGTCTTACTCTGACATGTTCAAAAAAAGAGATATTTTGTTTAGTTTGAACAATCTGCTGCAGATCCTGAACACGAACACGAACTTTTGGTTCTATGCCGGGATGAACCAAAAATTCAGAAACGGTCTAAAATCTCTCTTCTGCGGGTAATACATATTTTTTTAATTAAACTCAGGGACAAATAGTTCGTAATATCGATAAGTGGCAAGAAAATTATGAAATAAAAAAAAATTGCCTATATCCTACAAATGTCGCTAAAATTTTGGTGACTGCCCTAAATGCGATTTTTGTTAAATAAAAACGATTTTTTGTCGCTTATTTGGCAAAAAGGGCAATTTTTTCAATTTAGAGTAGGAAAATATTTGAATTTATAAAATAAATTTTTTTAACCAAATATTCATTCAAGTTTATCAAAAAAAAATTGGTAATTTTTAGACTTTAAAAAGTCTGTAAACGTAGTTTTAAGTGACCCTTTAAATAGGTGCATACTGCATACTATGTCGTACAACAATACCCTTGAATGCTTTTTCTGATCAAATATGAAGCTGATATCCATGTTTATTATTTTGAAAACTAATTATTTTCTACAAAAGTGACTATGCGCATATCTGCTGCACTAAATGCTCTAGTCGTTTTTGTAGAGAACCCACCATTATTTCATAATTATTTACATTAATATCTAATTTATGCTTTGTCAGACAAAGCTTTTAAGGGTCCCTTTGTGAATTGTCATCTTTTCATGGATGGTCACTTGAAATTACGCTTACAGGATTTAAGACGGAACTGTAATTGAAAAGACATGATGTTTATCAGACATTGAGAGGACCTATCGTTTTCAATAGATTGTTTTTTTTCTGTCTATGACTATATATATAGATTCTAACAAAATCATTAATTTCTTAATCAATACAAATTTTAATTTGTTTCTAGAAACCTAACGCCACCCATTCAGCAGGGTATTGTTCCCCAGGAAAGGAGTATTGAACTACAACCAATTAATAGATCTGATAGAGAAACTATTAACAAACTAACTGAACAACAACTCCAGAATCAGGATCAAGCAGGATGTGTGCCTCTGGAGAAGCAAGCTCTTAAACAGGATTGTCTTGGTAGCTTGTTGCTTGGAAATCAAGTTCAGGTTCAAGTTTCTAATCAAGGGCGTCCCAATAGCTTGCTTCTTAAGAAACAATTTGAACTGCATGTGGTAAAGGTTGATTGCTCCACTAGAATTCTAGATGAAGAGGAAATCAAGGTGCACGAGGTCAGTTATGTTCGAGAAGATCAGGATCAGCCCAGCGTTATTCAAGAAGATCATGACCAAACCAACGTTACTCAAGATGATCATATACAGTCTACTGATTTACTGAAAGGTCAAAACCAGTCTGACGTTATCCAAGAACATGATGATAAGTCCACCAATGTTGTGGATGACGATAAAATGAAACCTTATGAAATCAGCAATGATCAGAAACTTATGGTTTTACCTGGAGAGGAAATAGAACTACACATCATCAATAATATCCATACTCCTAGAGTTTCACTTACTGAGGAAGAAAAAGAACAACAAATGATCAACAAAGATCAAATTGACAAGGTTACAGTCCAGAATGAAATAGAACCACCTGCCATAAATCAGGAGTTGACTGTCAAAAAGTTTTCCAAAGAAGGCATCAAAGAAGATTTTGATTTTGATCAGATAATCAGTGTTGAGGAAAAAGAACACTATCAGCTACATATCATTGATTATGGTGTGTACGGAGAGGAATGTCATGAAGAATATGTTTAAAGGTTGAGACACCAGTACAATCAAAAGAGTACTGTCAGGGAACTTACTCTGATAAGTATAATGTCAACAAGCCGATACTCAACTCATGTACATTTGAATTTGAGCTGAACACAGATGGTCCTATTTTGTACCCGCTAGGAACACCAACAACACTGGCAGACATACTCAGCAGGGGTCAATATTATAGCTTGCCTCGCTCTGTTGGTAGCTTTTTACTTAAGCAGAAATAAGGCTTTAAACGGATTAAAACCCCCATTAAATGTATTAACCACTGTGTCTATTTTTATTATTTTTGAATTCAAATTTATATTAGTTTTTATTCATGTAAGTCAGTGTTCAAAATGTTGTTATTTATGTATTTCCGTACAAAAGAACCTATTTAAAAATTGGAAGTATAAATATTGAATAATGTTTTCTAATGCCTGTCTTTCTATGCTTTCTAACAACATGTTTGTTTTAACCATAAAATTATATTTTTTGTTTCCAGTTTTAAAATGATAATGTTTTTTTTCTGTTTCTGTTTCATTTTAAAACGAAAAATATTTTTTTCCGTTTTCCGTTTTCCGTTTCAAGATGGAAAACAATCATTTTCCGTCTGCCCTCTGACAATTTCATTTAATTTCTGTCTTTCCAAGTTACACTATAAATGATGGATTTTAGCACGGGGGGGGGAACAAGATTTTCCTGTTCCCCCTCCCCTCCTCCCCTAATTTAGTCTTATACGGAAAACGAATTTTTTAGTTTCTCGGTTAGAAAACAAAATCGATTTTTTCATATTTCCTTGGTGAAACGAAAAAACGATTGTATTTCTTCAGTTTTTCGTTTTGAAACGTTAAACAATTTTTTCGGTTTTCTGATTTGAAACAAATAAAAACCTTTTTTTCTCTTCCGTTTTTAATTTCAAACCCATTTAAGGTATTATAAAACGATTTTTCCGATCGTTTTCCGTTCAGAAAAAAATGTTGTTTTGAAAAAGTCAAAATAATCGTTTGTAAAAAACGCATCGTTTTGAAAACAAAAGGGTTTCTAAAATTGACACACAAACGGAAAATGATCGTTTTGAAGAAAAAAATATAAAACGATGCCCTAGTATTAGCCCTGTATTCCAGGAATCAATTAACCCTCGAGTATCTTTTCGGTTTTGTTTCTTTTGGTATTTGGCTATTATGATATTTTCTTATAAATTAACTATTTTTATTTTAATCTTCTATGTGAAATTTTGTATACACCAGGGCTGACAGTCTTGACCTAATTGTAAAAAATAATTTATTTTATTTATTTTAATATCGAAATACATTATTGTTAATATATTATCAAATGTTGTGTAAAAATAATAAGGTATAGGAACACGATAAGAATCTTGTAAAAATAATAAAGGATTACTTTGCTTTCACAAAAACATTTTTAAGTCAAAAATTTATATTAGTTTTTATTCATGTAAGTCAGTGTTCAAAATGTTGTTATTTATGTATTTCCGTACAAAAGAACCTATTTAAAAATTGGAAGTATGAATATTGAATAATTTTTTCTAATGCCTGTCTTTCCATCCCTTCTAACACCAAAAAGTGTAAAAACATCTTATGTCCATAATGTAATAAAAAGATATATACTTAGTCCTAAACAGTTTCTGGCATTGCATTACTTTTATATTTGTTAAAGGGGTTGTATAAAGGGTTGTTAATCGTTTTTAAAAACGATCGTTTTATGTTTCGTTTTTCGATCGTTTTCAAAATGATCGTTTTGTTTCGATTTTTCGTGGTTGTTTTCATAACGAAACAATTGTTTTTAAAAAAAAATTGAACACGTTAGCATCCCATAACTGTAGAGCGTAGCGGTCGTTTTGAACAGCTTGTAAAACAAAACGGTTTCTAAAACTGACACACAAAACGGAAAACGATCGTTTTTAAAAAAAAAATGTAATGCCCTAGTATTGGCCATGTATTCCAGGAATCACTAATCCCTGCTCGAGTATCTTTTTCTGTTTTGTTTCTTTTGGTATTTGGCTATTATGATATTTTATTATAAATAAAATATTTTTTATTNTTTATTTTATTTATTTTAATATCGAAATACATTATTGTTAATATATTATCAAATGTTGTGTAAAAATAATAAGGTATAGGAACACGATAAGAATCTTGTAAAAATAATAAAGGATTACTTTGCTTTCACAAAAACATTTTTAAGTCAAAATATATTAAAGAAATATTTAAATAATTTTGAATATAGTATTTTCAAAGAACATCTGTTTTCCTGGAAAAAACGAGATGGATTTTTGGAGAAAAACTGGTTTCTTTTGGAAAATTTGTTATTTAACAGTGGAACCTTTTTAAATAAGAGGTTACGTGAAACTGCATCTAGAGCATCTTTATGTTAATATTTGACAAAAATCAATAAAATTCGGGGTTTAAACGTAGAGAATAGAATAACTATAAATCAAATGATGTTTTTTATTCACCTAATTCATTAAAAAGTTTATTTAACAGCTTTAAAAAATTCCAAATTGAAATGAATAGTCTAGGGAACATACTGTATTAATGTTCTCTAATGCATATAATTTGTGAACATTTACATGATTTGTTCACTTTGAACTCCCTTTCAGGCTGAAAGGGACTGAAAAAATTCATACCGAGAGATTCTTTAAATTCCCCTCTAATAAATATTCTATTCTCTATGGGTTTAAATTTTATTTGTAATAGCTGAAGTTTAGGGAAATTCATATGTATTCTGTGAATATTTTATATTGTTCGATCTTTAGAAAGGTTAGTTTTTCTAAGAATAAGACGTCCATTTTTATCTAAATTTACCTGTCTAATTAAAAAAAAGAAACATGATAGATGAATTTGAAATTATTTTAAAAAACTACATTTAGCTGTATATAAACTTTTTCGCGGAGTTGTGCAGTTTGAAGGAAAAAATTGCTCATGTATAATTTACTTGAGGCCGAATTTAAAGAATTTGAGCCGCAGCTTAAATTTAATTAAATATGGTTGGTGTCACATAAAAGTGTATTCAATTTTTCAAGATTTAATCCGGCGCTCAATTGAAACCGGTTTTTGGGGGGATTTGAGACGCGGCTTAAATTCATTAAATTTGGACTTTGTATAATTTAAAAAATTAACGTACTGGGAAAATCCGCGAAATTCGTTGTAAAACAGTACTTTTCTGTAAGTTTACAAATTTAATGTACTACTGGTGCATTTTGAAAAAACTTAACCATTCCATTAATCTAATATTTTTAACTGGGTTTCCACTGGTTTTAAACTGGTTTTAAACTGGTTTTAACTGGTTTAAAGCTGGTTAAAAACTGGTTTTAAACTGGTTTTAAATGGTTTAAAGCTGGTTTTAAACTGGTTTAAAACTGGTTTTAAAGACTGGTTTCTTAATTCCAGTTTTCTTAGCTTAAGTTTTCGCTCCAGCACTTTCCGCGTAGCTTTTTCCCGATCTGAAACAATGAGTTTTTATAAATAGCTCTTCAGTAAGAAGTGTTATCAACATATATAAGATTTTAATCTATCGTGAATTTACTTCAATTTAACGCGGTTCAATCCATTTATATATTAATAATAGCGAGGGAGTACTCATAGTTACCCATACCGTTTACCCGCGCTCAGTCGTAAGTTACGATTTCAGTTATTTACCCCTATAAAAGTCGACCCACTCATCTAAGAATCTTAAGACTAAGCTTCAAGATTATTCCCGTGGTTCTCACATATTTACATCATTTTTATTTGTTAAAGTTTATGTATTATAGCGTGAAAACCAAAAGAACCGTGGAATAGGAATACGACATTAAAGATATATTTAGGTGAATTTGGTGTTGTTACAAAGCAAATAGTTATACATGTGACTTAATATATCAGTTTTTAAGTTAAATGGGCCTGTTTACACTGCACAATTGTTTTTTCTATTTTCAGTGGACTATTAAAAGTCATAAATTGAACCTAAAAGTCGTCTTCCTATTCCAAGTTTTTGGCTCTCACCTCACCTAAATCCAGTTTAATCTGCATGTATTCCTCGAGAGATGGCACCACGTGACTATTCATCTGTTTCCGATTCAAACCAAACAATAATTTTCTACCCACTTGACTTTTCAACAGCTGATCAATCCTTTGATATTGCAGACTTAGTCTATTTCATGCAACATATCAAAGGTCTACAGCAAAGATTGTAGAGATCAGAAATCAGTTTTTGATGGAAACTTTTAATTCCTTTAAGATTTAAGTACAATATGTTTCATAGTTAAAAGAAAGTAAACAAAATTCAAGTTAAAAATTTTTAATCTGAAATCATTCTAAATTTTAATATATTTACTAATGAGAACTTTCCTCTGAATTCGGAATTTGGAATTTAGACGAATTCTATTTGAACATTTTGACAAGATTTATTTTGGTAAAATTTAATTTAAATCCCCAAGAAATAGATGTGTAATTTATAATTGTATTTTTATGTTTGTATACAAGAGGAACAACTGATTTAATCGATTGGTTTCCTTTGATTGCATCTTCAGAATCGACTTTTCGATTTGATCATTTAGACGCGAGACCTTCAATTAAACAAATGAGGATTAGAGGTTCTGGTTATAAGTCTGATGAGTCTTGACTTTAATCCTCAGTTTTACCCATTATGTTTAGATGTATAGTAGTTTTTATTTTATACATTTTGTTGAGCTATGTATTATATTTTTTACATTTTTGTTGGGCGATGTATTTTATTTTATACATTTTTGTTGAGCTCTGTATTTTATTTTATACATTTTTGTTGGGCTATGTATTTCATTTTATACCTTTTTGTTAAGCTCTGTATTTTATTTTATTACATTTTCGTTGGGCTCTGTAGTATTTTATTACATTTTTGTTTGGGTATATGCAATTTATTTTTTACATTTTTGGGGCTCTATATTTTATTTTTACATTTTTGTTGAGCTAAGTATTTCATTTATGCATTTTTGTTGGGCTATGTATTTCATTTTATACCTTTTTGTTGAGCTATGTATTTCATTTTATACGGGCTCTGTATTTTATTTTATACCTTTTTGTTGAGCTCTGTATTTTATTTTATACCTTTTTGTTGAGCTCTGTATTTTATTTTATACCTTTTTGTTGAGCTCTGTATTTTATTTTATACATTTTTGTTGGGCTATGTATTTCATTTTATACATTTTTATTGAGCTATGTATTTTATTTTTTACATTTTTGTTAGGCTTTGTATTTCATTTTATACATTATTGTTGAACTATGTATTTTATTTTTTACATTTTTGTTAGGCTTTGTATTTTATTTTATACATTTTTGTTGAGCTATGTATTTTATTTTTTACATTTTTGTTAGGCTTTGTATTTTATTTTATACATTTTTTTTGAGCTATGTATTACATTTTTGTTGAGCTATGTATTTTATTTTTTACATTTTTGTTAGGCTTTGTATTTTATTTTATACATTTTTTTTGAGCTATGTATTTTATTTTTTACATTTTTGTTAGGCTTTGTATTTTATTGTATACATTTTTGTTAGACTATGTATTTTATTTTATACATTTTTGTTGGACTATGTATTTCATTTTAATTTATACATTTTTGTTGGGCTATTTATTTAAGTATCTAATTACTCTTTCACTATTTTTGCCGGATTTTGAATTAAAAATAAATAAAAAATAATGAATAAAAAATCCGATAAATACATGATACACTTGTATTCAACATCCTTAGTTTTACGTGAAATATTTGTACAGAAATGAAAAAGATAAAAAATTAAGATATATTTTGTATTTAACCTTATAGGGTTTCCACCGCAAGTGGATTTTAATTTCGCGCAATTAAGAAATAGCCATATCCTTTTTACAGAAACTTTTAATATTTTTAGACTTTTAAAAGGTTTATAGACTATCAGAGAAGGGAACAACGATTTAGAATTGTGTTCTGTAGAAGTTTGCTTTTATCATACATGCAAAGGAATTGAGTCTTTGCCACAAACTCTGATTTTCTTATCCCTATATCTTTATAGTTCAATGTCGCAGACCTTAGATATTTCAAACTTATTTTTGATTAAATAATCTAAGTAATCTAAATATCAAAGGTTTACACCATCCGACCCCAAAGATATATGGATTAGAAAATCAGATTTGTAACCAAGACTCAATTCCTTTGTTATCAGGTGAAAATATAAGGCAAAAACGAACTAAAAACTATCGTTTTAAAAACCCAAAAACGATCGTTTTCAAATGATTGTTTTTGCCTTATAATTTCCTTCTAGGGTAACAAATATGCATGTTTAATGAAAGCAAACTTCTACATAATAAAGTTTTAAAATGTTCGAACCTTCTCATATTGTCGTAAAACCTTTTAAAGGTCTAAAAACATTAAAAGTTTCTGTAAAACTAATCTGGCTATTGCCCATACCTAATTGCGAGCCCTTTAATTCTGCGCAATTAGGCGCAATTCCGCCCACTTCCAAGTAATTCCTAGCAATTCCAAGCAATTCTCAGCAATTTCAAGCAATTCAAAGCAATTCAAAGCAATTCAAAGCAATTCAATTCAACTCAAAGCCATTCAAAGCAATTCAAAAAATTCAAAACAATTCAAAGCAATTCTTAGCAATTCAAAGCAATTCAAAGCAATTCAAAGCAATTCAAATCAATTCAAATCAATTCAAAGCAATTCAAAACAATTCAAAGCAATTCAAAGCAAATTCAAAACAATTCAAAGCAATTCTTAGCAATTCAAAGCAATTCAAAGCAATTCAAATCAATTCAAATCAATTCAAAGCAATTCAAAACAATTCAAAGCAATTCAAAGCAATTCAAAGCAATTCAAAGCAATTCAAAGCAATTTCAAGCAGTTCCAAGTAAGTCCAAGCAAGTCCAAGCAAGTCCAAGTCCAAAGAAACTCCAAGAAATTACGAGTAATTCTAAGCGATGCAAAGCAATTTAAAGTAAATCAAAGCAATTCAAAGCAATTCAAAGCAATCCAAAGAAATTCAAAGTAATTCAAACCAATTTAAATTAATTCAAAGCAATTCAAAGCAATTCAAAGCAATTCAAAGCAATTCAAAGCAATCTAAAGTAATTCAAAACAATTCAAAGCAATTCAAAGCAATTCAAAGCAATTAAAAGCAAGTCCAAGCACGTCCAAGCAAGTCAAAGAAACTCCAAGAAATTCCGAATAATTCAAAGCGATGCAAAGCAATTTAAAGTAATTCAAAACAATTCAAAGCAATTCAAAGAAAATTCAAAGCAATTCAAAGCAATTCAAAGCAATAACAAATAGTTTCGCGTAATTCCGCACAATTACATAAAAGTCCAAGCAACGGAATTCCGATTGGAAACCGTATTTCCACCTGTTCTAGTTCTGCCTCCATATTTAACACAATGTGCTCCTTCAGCTGAAACAATAGGAGTAACTATTAAACTAATTAATTAGGGTAATAAAGGGACTGTACGCGTAATTTCAAGTCACCCTATTTGCAATTTTTGTAAACTGATTATTTTCTATTGTGGATTCTATACAAAAGTGAATTGTGTATTCCTGCTGCAGGAAAACGTATATAGGAATACAACTTTTAAACCTAGCAAAACAACAATATCTTCCACATTATTGTTTCATTAAAGGTTTCAAGGGTACAGTTATGAATCTGGCATTGCATGGACGGTCAATTGGAACAACGTTTACAGTCCCTTTAAGAAGGAAAAATATATTTTGTTAAAAATACCTGTGTATTGGCGCTCAGTCGTTTCTGAAGTTGGATTTCGTCCTGAACAAAACTTTTAGACTTAAGATTTGTTTTTTCTTAATTTTTTTAATAATAAGAATAATAATAAGGAATTAAAATTGAATTTGATCAAGTTTTAAAATTGCAAGTAATTGTCCTAGTATAAAAAATATGAAAAATTAGTTAAGGGGACTTAAACCTATGGCTGGGCACGTTCCAACGTTTTCTAGTCGTTTCGTTAGTCAGTTCAAACCGTTAAAAGATAAAAATTTCAGTTAGTTGTTAATTTTAATGGTAAGAACGGAACGTTCGTTTCGTTAACGACATTTTTAGGCTTTTTTTAAATCACCGTTTTATAGTTAACTATCTCAATTTTACTAACTGTATTAACGGAGAATATTCAACAATCGTTAACGGCTCTGGCCGTTAATGGTACCGTTATTACAAAATTAATGACGTAAACTCTGCGCGAAGCGACGAAAAAATTTCGTTAATGGTTAAAAAATCGTTAATGGCGCAGCCGTTAATGGTATAATACAGTATCAACGGCGTTAACGGTTAAAAAATCGTTAATGTGTAAAATATATTTACATAAATTAATACCAATCATATACAGAGAGACCCATAAACTGTGCAATAGGAAGACGACTGTAAAATCTTAAATGGTCTAAAAACGCAGAATTTGTGAATAGTGTGTAAAGACCCATTTCACTTTGTGAATTTTCAAGCTACCGGTCAAATTATTTGCTTTAGAACAACACCAAAAACACATAAATCTATTCCACAATATATTAACCTGCCACTTTTTCTGATTGATAAACCTCACTCGTTGTGCACTTGATAATTGGTGTTTTGTTTCTATCAATTCTTCTTGGGTCTTGTTTAACCTAAACAAAAGAAGATATTTTAAAAAATATAGTAAATATGACTTTTTTATGAAAGAAAATATGAAAAACAAGTACCTAAGCTTAGGGTGCTCCTGAAAAAATTCCCAGATGTGCAAAACATTTTTTTGGGAGCATTGGGGTAAACCTAGCTCAAATACGAAATTTTAGCATTTAAAAATAATTTTCCTAAATGGCCCAACCATTTTGGCCTATTTCAACCATTCTCGGCTAAATTGGGTTGTCTATGAATTTTAAAATGTGATATCATTCTGGAAATCATTTAACTTGGTATTGACCAAATTTTACAGAATTTTTAAGAATTTTAGTTTTGATTGTAAAATTTTCAGAAAAATTGAAAAATCGCGTCTTTTTAATACCTTTCTCCAGCTCCATCCTGGAGTGGTTAAATTAATTTTTTTTTCATACTCAATACCATTGCTATCTGAAAATACTTTGACAATTTAGAATTGGCTTAAAAATTTTTTATTGACAAGCTTGACAAGGTATTGGCTCCAAAAAGCGATAATCAAATACCATTTTTGGTGTATTTTTCTCTTAACTCTTCTTGCTTGGCCAAATGATGTCACCTAATAATAAATTGTTTTAACAGTACAAAAATTAAAACTCCAATATCTTTAAAGACCACAGAGGTATAATCCTATTCGTGATTTCACTCATAAAGCGGGGTTTTAAGCGTTGCTAAACAAGTTTCTTTATTTCAGCCTTTTTAAAAGATATCAAACACTTGGTTTTTTTTCTGTGCAATCCTAACATCAAAAGGCATCTTTTTATGACTTTTTTTTAAAAGTTGCATCATTTAACCATTAAGGAGAAAACTAGGTTGAAAACGGTTTTTAAATATGGTTTCTCAGGCCAATACCTTACACATTTACCTCTAAATTTGTCAAAAACATTTTTTGAGCCATTTATAAACTATCAAAATAATTTAGAATAGTATAATTAAGTTTGAAAAAAAATTACTTGACCACTCCCAGATGGAGCTGAAGAAAGATGTAAAAAGACGGAATTTTCACCATCAAAAAGAAAAAAGTTCGAAAAAACTCTGTCAAATATGGTCAATAATACTCAATACCAAGCAAAATGATTTTTAGAATCGTATCACATTTCAAAATCCCTAAAAATTTGACAATTTAGACGAGAATTGATGAAAAAGGTCAAAAATGGCGGGAAGGACAGTAAAATGCGAAAATTTCAAGAACATGCAAATGCGAAAATCTCGGGGGAAAAATGCGTAAATTTGCGAGAAAAAAAGAAATTATTAATATGATATAATAAAACTTCTAATGCTGAGTTCCCAAAGCATAGAATGTTGCAAGTTTTTTTACGCAATTGCAGCTACAACTTATTGTTTTAGGTGAAATTTCGCATCGTTTTGCATTTTTTCGCAAAATTTATTTTCGCAAAAAATGCGAAATTTCGCGAAAAAGATTGCAGAAACGAACGTAAATTTTTACATTTATTCGCGAAAGTTTTTGTTCGCTGGTAATCCTAGGTTAGATTGATTAGAAATTCAGATTTTGTGGCAAAGACTCAATTTCTTTTTTATTTCCTTTCAGTTTTCTCCTAAAAAAATATTTTTATTTTTATCTTTTATTTCTGAAATGATGACTTGTTAGAAGGAAAAGCTGTCATGATCTAAAAAAGATGGAAAATAAGGAAAAAATATATAAAACCACATTATTTGAATTGAAAACGAATGTTATTTATGGATAATTGATCTACAATAGTTTGTTACAATACCTTTAGTAAATTTGTCTTACAGGGACTGTAAGCGTAATAATAACTCTCCATTTAAAGGGACTGTTAGCGTAATTTAAAGTAACCCTCCGTGTAAAGATGGTAATGCCCGATTCACAACAGTATTAAAAGCTTTGTCTGATCAAGTATGAATTAGATTTTAATGTTTCTTTTATTTTTAGAACGGGTTATTTTCAATTGTGAGTTCTCTACTGAAGTGACTTGCGCAATTCTACTGCAGGAAAACATATTTGAATGGTCAAAATTGAACACAGTCCTTCTAACGAGTGAAATTTGTGACTGAAAGATGGAGGAAGATTATTTGAGCTTTCACTAGTTTTGATTTGT